CACCCCCCCACCCACATCACCCCGGCTTGGCATTTGGCTGCGGGAGGACCCTGGGTGCCCCCCCAGACCCAGGAGGCACCAGTTGCTGAGCCAGAGGGCAGGGGGTGGGGTCCCCAGTGTACTCCCTAGCAGACCCAAAAGTGGACTGGAAGTGCTTCTGGTCCACTTCTGGGTCGGCTGCTGAGAGCACTGGGGACCCCCTGCACTCCTGTGGAATGTTTCATTTGCCCCACCATCTCAGCGTTCATGAGCCACCTGGTACCTTGAGGTATGTAGAAAAAACATTTAAAGCTGTGTCTATGTCCAAATTATTGAATCTTTCCGAATCTCTTCGAATTGATTCGGACAGATTAAAGGGTCTCCTGGTTCGATTTCAGTTCAAAGATTTGGCCGCCAAATCAGGCCGATTCTTTGCCAAATCAAATTAGCAACCGAAGCTTCGCACAGCCCTAATGGCTAGTTTTTGTGCAGAAATCAATTTCTCAGAATTCTGTTCATTTAATGCTCAATCCTGCTAGCTGCTGAGATCTCTCATCCTAATGCTTCAAAGCCTGCAAGCACTTGCTTACCTATAAACACACAAGTATTCCTTTGATTTGAATGAGATTTGTCAGGTCCCTGCCACATGTTACACTTCCTAAGTAATTAACCACTTAATCATGTCTTAAATTGTGGCCCAGTCATATGATCAATCAGTTAATGGCATGATAAAGTGAGAAATAAGCCACAAAGTTCTTCCACAAAACTCTGTTAACCTTGTGGCTGGTTCCTGTTACACCATTAATTGAATGTTTGGCCAGGTATGCCCATATAGTTTCATGGTTGGTAGGGTCAGAAGGGACCTGAGCAGGTCATTAAGTCTGACCCGCTGCCATGGCAGGAAAGAATGCTGGGGTCAAACGCCCCCAGCAAGGTGATTATCTAGCCTCCTTTTGAAGACCCCCCAGGGTAGGAGCAAGCACTACTTCCCTTGGAAGTTGGTTCCAGATCCTAACTGCCCTGACTGTGAAGTAGTGTCTCCTGATGTCTAGCCTGAACCTACTCTCAGTCAACTTACGGCTGTTATTCCTAGTTACTCCTAGTAGTGCTCGGGAGAACAGGGACTCTCCCATTCCCTGCTGGTCTCCCCTGGTAAGTTTATAGACGGCCACCAGATTCCCTCTCAGACTTCTCTTGTGGAGGCTGAACAGGTTCAGGTCTCGTAGCCTCTCCTCATAGGGCCTGCCCTGCTGCCCCCTGACCATGCGA